GTGAGATTTGAACCGCTGACCTGCTGATCTAGCAGTAGCCTGCAGTGCTGCATTTAACCACTGCGCCACCTTGGCTCTTGGCTAATTATATACATGTATTATTCATAATACCCGACATGCCTTTTGTTTATACTTTTTTGACACTGTTGTCTACTCCTAACATTTCCCATTCTATCTTGCTTTTTTACTTCTCACACAATGTAATTCTTCCCTCTTCATAGTGCGCCAAAAGGTACTGTATTGCCAAATGGCATCAGTTCCTCTATTAAAATATTGGCCTTTGTCTAGCACAAACTTCTTTCTCATCTTCCATCAGCTCATTTCTCTTTCAGAATTATTCACATCTTTCATTGTTCCAACAATACAATTTCTAAAATGCCTTGTCTTTCCTCTCTGTACATGATTCAGCAAAGGATAAAAACAGATGCTACTGCTTTAAATTGGAACTGAGCATGCCTGGCTGTGGAATTCTGGGAGTTAAAGTGCACAAGTCTTAAAGCTGCAAACTTTGGATTTTAAATTGAAAGGCTGCTCAGAAGGAGGTTTGCAAAGTGACATTCAACATTTCTGGGTCAGCTGAACAACAAACTAGAAAGAAAGAAAGAAAGAAAAAGAAACAAAGAAAGAAAGACAGACAGAAGCACAGCAATTTAGGCCTAGAAGGCTATTCAGAGGTCATCTAGTCCAACTCCATGCTGCAGCAGGAAACCTTACATTGTCTGGATTATTTTGGTGCTTCTAACAGGGAGGAAAATTGCCAGAAAGGAGAAGAAGTTTTCTAGGACAAGGCTGCCATGCAGAGGAAGACAGAGATAGTCCTTGACTTATGACTACAATTGAGCCCAAAATTTTGGTTGCTAAGCAAGAGGGTTGTTAAGTGAGTTTCATCACATTTTACCCAATTCATGACATCCCCTGGTGAGTGTCATCAAGTTGGCCATGCCCACAGTCACATGACCACCAAGCCACACCCACAAAATAGGCCATGCCCCACAGAATAGGTAGTAAAACATTTCAAAACCCATCCCTACTTCAGCCTATTGTGTGACTCTCTCTCTCTCTGTGTGTGTGTGTGTGTGTGTGTGTTACTAAATATTACTATAATCCTATATAAGACCAACCTCAATTTTTGTGGGGAGAGAAGTTAGAAAGAAAGGGATATGCCATGCTGAAATTGATCATGAATGTAATGAGAATAATGATAACTGTAGGAGCTAAAGTATAGCATGAGTACAGTAAAATGCACATCTGAAAAATACAAAGCAATAAATGACAGATTTGGAGCTCGGCAATAAAAGAACATATAATGTCATTTCTATTCAAGGAACAGAAGAGAAGGTATATTAACCTGAACATTTTCACCATTGTTCTTCAAGGGAAAAAGAATAATGAAATATACAACACCCATGTGTAGTTGTTTAAAAGTCTTTGATATAAAAAACAGAACATGAAAATAAAACAAGGGACAAGAAGAATTTTTTTTTAATTTCATTGTTTCTTCACTGTCAATACTGTCTTTTCAAAGCAACATGTTACAAACAAATCCTGTCAACTTTTCCCAGTTTTAAACAGCGACAATATTTACAGGCTGTTTCAAAAAAACATACACACACCCACGCGCTCATACTCTCACCGACACATACAAAGTACACATAACCCTATCCCTGGCAAGTTCTCCATATGCTGGTAAATGCAAAGCACATATTCCATTTTCCAACTCATTTTATCTTTGCCCCCACCCATCATTTAAGGTAATAATAAGCAGTTCATTATCTGGCTGAGTTCATAAAGGAGTAACAAGTCTGACTTTTAACCGTTGTGACTTTTGTCATCCATTTGGGTCATCTGTAAAGTTAGTATAAATATCTAAATGGTATTTTCAAACATGTTTGCTGATGAACGGTGTATAGAAATCTATGAAGCCTTTTAGAGCAGCCATCTTTTAAAAAATTTGGGGACAATTAGATATGGGCAGTAGCTCCCACCAAGGTCTTATGTACTCACCACCATTTTACTAAGGCACACATTAAATACTGCTATAATTCTTATACTGTCTAGCATTGCAGGGCTAATGGCATCAGTTTTCCAATCACCAAGTAGAACCAGACAAGTAGAACCTATATAATAGGTAAGAAAAATCTCTCTTAATAAAACTAGGTATATAAAACCATGGTGGTTGAACCTACAGCTAATATGAAATATTTAGGTATGCTCTGAAAAGCTCTTTCAAATGCACTAGTCCATTGGTAGAGTTATTACCATTTAAAATATATAGAACTGAAGGGCTGGCATCACTGCTTCATCCCATCTGTTAAGAAGGCATTTCAATGTCAGTTTGGGTAAAATGTGCCCCCAAATTTAAGATTTCAAAGGCCTCTTCCATAACACTCCGTACCATCTATTCAATATTTTCACATAACATTGCAACTATGCAACTAGTCATTCTCCAACAGCAGCAAGCATGAGTAGAAAAAGCAACAAATAAAAAAAAACACCTTGTAAAAGATATAATTTTTCAAAAACATTTTCTTCCCTCCATATCTATTTCCTAGGTTACAAGAACATCTACAGAATATTACCTCAATATTGAGCAATAATAAGATTTTGTTCTTTATGAAAATTAAAGCATTTCACGAGGTAAAAGAAATTTCTCCTTTCATTTCCCAAAATATTAACTGGGAAGCTAAGTATATATGTCTGTGATTTTACATTAAATTAATGCCTAGTTGGATTATCAGTTTATTATGCATATTTTTATAAACATTGATAGTAGGCAAATGAACTTTCATAAACTTTTTCTACATAAATATTATAGCTTAATCTAGAAATTAATTTAGTGGATTACTAGTTTTGTACAAGACTTAGTATCAAATGCGAAAAAACAATATTGTAAAGTTTTCAGAATGCTTGTCATAACTGTTCGGAGAAATTAAATGAAGAAAGCCACCGAGTCCACATATGAAAAACTGCAAAACAATTAATTTGGCTTCCAAGTTCATATACCACAACAAGCAAAGAAAAAAGTTTCATAAATACTTGTTAATCCTACATAAAGGATAATCCACCAAATTATTGGGAGATGAACATCTTAAAAATCTGCAAATAAAACTAGATATAATTTTCACGAATGCTAATTAGATGAGATTTATATGTATCAAAAGTGTAATTGAGATTGTACTAATCAAATAATTTGTTTTCAATTATTTAAACTAAATTTATCACATTCTAAATGTATCTAGATATATTAGAAGTCTTGAAATTATCCTCTCTTTCAAGATACCTGTTTAGTTTCAAATATAATCAGTAGTGTGTGAGTATCCTATGTCACAGAGTGCCATTTCTGTTCTATTAATAATTAAAAAAGGAAAGAAAAATCTTATCAGAAAAATCCAATTTTCCATATTACAGTGTTCATTGCCTCATTCAAGTTAACCTTCAAAAGCACTCTCTTTGTCAATGAATTTCATATATTCAAAATGACTGATTAATCTTTTTGAAAGGTAGATTGCATTTTCTTTCTATTTTGGGAAGGTCAAAAAGATAAATGAATATTTAATTGTCAATTAAAATGTGAAGTAAGATGGCTGACCAAAACTCAGAAAATAATTTTTCTCTTGTTCATAAAATGATGAAAATATGTGTGGGCATTCAGACATTAGCAGGTGATGTATATTTTACCAGAACAGCAAAATCTTTTGGAAGCTTTTTTCTATATTTTATTGTTAATGCTGCTCCCTGGGACAAATGTTGTGATTTTCAGATTCTAGCAAGTTATCTGCAGCAGTGAATAGCTTTGCAAAATATTGTCAAGACTGTAATGCAGTAAGAATGGCATTTGGATTTTACTTTAATATACTCAGCAAGCCATAAAGGCTGTTTTTTATGGTATCAGATTGTTATGAGATTATTTGATTATGTTCATTAAGTGTACGATGGTTATGTTTCACTGCAACTTCTTGTTTGTAAGATCACCCATGCATAATTAACATAGGAATAGTTCAAAAGTAAAAGATGGCTGCTTCTAAAAGCTAAAACTGCAAATTGTTTTGTTTCCCATTGAGCCCAAAGTTTCAGATCACATGAAAGAAACAATCACTACATATAAAACTTTCCATTAACATTGTGAGCAAGTCATAGAAATAGCAAGATAAAAATTGCAACTTTGTCCCCTTACTCTGTTGCTGTTTGAATAACTTGTTTCCCTGAAAACACACACTAAAAATTCCAATCAGTAAAAATCGATGATATGCAACATAAATCAATTTCACAGTTATATGCAAAGTACAATTATTATAGAATATATATAATTATTGAAAATGAATTCAAGTCACAGAACATAATAGCAACTAAAGGGAGCTAAAACGCAAAATGATACAGATAATATGATACAACATGCCTTCTGATTTTTATCCTTTAATTTTTTTAAAAAAGTAAACTATTTTGCTTAATAAAGGAATAAGTCCCAGAATAGAGATAAAGTCACAACCTTATTTAAAACAATGTATCTCATCCAGTTTTCCATGAAAACAAAAGCAAACATTTTTTTTTCAAAGGAGCCCAGTAACATATTTTTGTTGACTCCATATTAGAAAGTAACAAAAGAAGAAGAAAATGCACAATTGTATGATTGAGCCCATTATGTAAAAAGATAAAATTTATGCTATCAATTGGTTTCACCATGAGTTAGGCTTCCCTGGAGTTTTCTTCTGTAATTACTGGTTAATCTACCATATATTGTAAATAGGACAGAATAAATAAGTTGTTGGGAAATTTTTTAGCCAAAAATGAACCAATGGTCTTTCCTACCATCATATGAATATGATGAAGGAGGTGGATAATCCCAAAGGCAATTTAAATAACGGTATTTTCTTTTATATGTATATATATATATATATATCAATAAATGTTCTGAGCAATCTCAGATTTTTGTAGTGCATTGCCATAAAAAAAATAGTGCAGTTTTCTCAATGATCTTTTTTCCCACTTAGAAGAAAATCTAGTTATACTTGCAGTTAATGAAACATTCTATTCAGCTTCACACTGACCTCAACATTTATACCATTTTCAGCTGCTTTAAAAAAAATGAACTGAATCTACATTAATGAGACAAAATATTTTTGGCAAGACAATTAGAAAAAATTGAGATGCTCCTGTTTTGAAACTTGGAAAATGTGGGGTTGTTTTAAAGCATTGCAATGGATAAAATAATGTATAAAGCAAAAGATATATCCTTTTTACCCTTCATGCACAATATTTTCTTCAGTAGCTAACTTGAAAAATATCAAAAGCACCCCCTTAATTCTTTTGGGGACTGACATCCTACCCTTAACTTTGTTTTCAAGTCTCTTCCTATTACTTGAGCTGTTAGGGTAGCCTTCTGAGACTCCTTACTTTATTTCTAAACATTGTGGAGATGGACTAGGCATTAATTGTCCAAGATGGTCACACTTCAGCCCCAAGTTCCAGGACTCCGGTTTCAATCACCGCAACATATTTGTCTTCAATTTGGACGAGCAAGATGGTTTTGTCTATATGGGACCTATGCCCTGGATCTCTGCTGCAAGGCACCCAACGGTGAATCACCTAGCAGGGGTAGCAAGCAAAGAAAATATACTCAGCAGTAATAGTAGAACTTTATCATTCTGAAGTAGTACGTGCAGGCTACGTGAGAGGATCAAGATTCGGCTTTGAGGTCTTATCTATTTTGTTGCTCCAGCACAGAAATTATTTTGATTCCAATAAAGTTATATGCTATAATACTGAGAATAAAATAATAATAGAAATATTCCCGTATTTCACAGGAGAAAATTTATAGAAAGCATTGAGAACTGTAACAAGGGAGCAGGAAATGTCATACTTTGGTAAAAAGTGCACTTATTTATGTATATTTCCCTTGCATGGATTTAATATACTATGCTCTTACCTTCCAAGAAACTATGCAGAATTGATTGGTCTTAAGTTGTTTTTGATTGGTCTTAAGTTGTTTTTTTAAAAAGTTAAGATTTCCAGAACACATAAAACAAAGACATATGATGCATATTCCTGTCTATCGTTATAATTTAGAATTTGTAAAATTGGCTTTTTCTTAGTGCTCCACTTTTTGAATTTACATACAATCAATATAACCTCTGAGCATGCCAATAGCAAAGGCGGATGAGGAATGAAACTTACATGGCCTTCCATGCCTTCCTGAGGATTCCAGTCTTTCCAGCTGTTTCTTCCAGCTCTTAGTCTTATCATTTCATCTGGCCACTGCAGTTCTTTTCTTTTGGATAAGTTGATCCCTTCCAAAACCTGGCTAGGATCTATTATCTAAAAAAAAAAGTAGCAGCTTAAAATTAGTGCTATTCAAGAACTGAGTTTGAAATCCCCCTTTTTGAAATTGTTCAAAACTTTTTCAACTCAAAAGTTTTTGCATATCCTTCCAGGTATAATTTGATTTCAAACACCAGACAGCAAAATAAGAAGGGAAATATATTTCCACAACCACAGGTTTCACATTCCTACAACTCGTTTGAGTAGAACACAGAGAAAATGAGATATAATTCAATGTTTCCCATTGATGTTTTTCTTAGCTTCCAAACTTGGATCATCTAGCTTGCACTGCAAACCAACATACACAAGAAAGTATGTTTAATGTAATAACAAATAATTGCTTAATTCTCCACCTAATAGAATTGTTAGAGCATTATAGAAAGCTGTTGAAATAACTTTAGTACTTAACTTACACCATATGTTTTTGTAATACAAAGATCTTTATTCGCTGACCATGTCTTTGCCTTGTTCATTCTCTTTCCTTTAGCAAATGAAGCACCATTTTCAAAGTGTAGCCAAAGCACAGCACAGCCCTAGCAAATACCAGCTGTTAAGATGTGTTACATCTGAAATCTTTCATGAATTCTGCATAGTAGTTGTTCATTCCAGTGAGTTGCATTCCAGAAATGTAGGGAAGATTAAAAAATTAAACCCATAACTGTCCAGCCATAAAAATAGTCATTAGATAATAAAGGACATATAAACCAGATCAATTTCTACATTTCATTTACCTGAATTCTGTAAACAACATCATCCCTTTTGGTTCGTGTCTGGTTCACAGGGCTCACATTTGTGCATGCCTGTGAATCAGTGACGTTCGTCATTCCATCGTTCCCTAAAAAGCCAACAAGAGCATGTTGTTTGCAGACTGGGATGCTCTGACTGGAACTGCTTGAAGAAGGGAGGCCATTCTGCATATTGGCAACACCAGTCTGGTTAGTGGGTTCCATTTGGTTCACCATGGAAAGACGGGACTGTATGGATGATGGAAGATTGCGAAGGGAAAGCTGGCTGGTGGAAGACCGTCGGCAAGGCACAAAGCCTGTGGTGGATGTCCGGAGGGATGAATGACGACTGCTGTAGCAGTAAGTTGACTGGCTGGCAACTGAAGCACGAGCAGGGGAATGTCTGATAAGGCTTGATTGCACAGAATGAGCACTCTGGCTGGTGCCTAAAAATAAAATATGAGCAAAAAATAAATGAAATTATTATATGTTGTATAATAATTTTATATACCGTGTTTCCCCAAAAATACGACAGGGTCTTATTTTCTTTTGCTCCACAAAATGTGGTGTTGGGCTTATTGTCAGGGAGGGCTTATTATTTTGGGGTTGCCGGGCGGCTGCTCCCTTGTGAGCGGACTCCCGAAGAGCCGGGCACAGCCTCAGGGGCAAAGCAGCCATGAGATAACTATGCTCATAAGCAGCTGCCCGGCAAATTCCCTCTGCAGCCGGGCAGAGCGCCATTCACTGACCTAGGGGGTATCACTAAGGCACCAAGCCATGTGTGGCACTCTGCCCCGAGTTTTGGAGTTTGGAAGTTATGCTGGGAGCGTGGTGGCGGCGGGTGGCAGCGATGCCCTGGGAGAGCTGTGCAAGGGCTTGGTGAGGCGGGGGGGTGGAACAGGCACTCGCGCAACCCCCCTCTCCAGCCGGGCAGAGCTCCATGCACTGATCTAGGAGGTATCCCAAATGTGCCAAGCTGCGAGAGCTGGGGGGGGGGGCAGGCAGAGCACCACATGGCTTGGCGCCTTAGTGATATCCCCTAGGTGACTGAATGCGCTCTGCCCGGCTGGAGAGGGGATTTGCCAGGTGGCTGCTTGTGAGCATGGTTATCTCATGGCTGCTTCACCCCTGAGGCTGTCCCCGGCTCTTTGGGGGCCCGCTCACAAGGGAGCAGCCGCCCAGCAACTCCCCCCTCCAGCCAGGCAGAATGCCACTTCCAACCGAGCGGTATCCTGAAGGCGGCAAGCAACGTGAGCACCTTTCCTCCCCTCCCGGCTCCCGCGGCTTGGTGCCTTCGGGATACCGCTAGGTCGGTGAGCGGTGCTCTGCCTGGCCAGAGGGGGAGTTGTTCAGGGGGTTTATTATCAGGGGTGGGCTTATATTTTTGCCCACGCGAAAAATGTGGCAAGGCGTTAGTTTCAGGACAGGTTGTATTTCCGTGAAAACATGGTACATACAGTATTATACATTTTAGTTTGTTTATGCCAAAGATGTAAATTTGAATGGAAAATTGAAAAGGCTATTGGCTTGTATGCTGTTTAAAATTCAAATTAGATTCTAGATCAATTCCTTTAAGAAACAGCAATGCCTATTAATTGAAGAAAATGTGTCTGATAACTACATAGAAGTTCCTTCAACTTTCTTCGACCATAAATTTAACTCCTCCCCCTTCCAAGTCTTTTATGCCTGATGTTTTAATCATTGTCAGACTGTCTGTTTCATCACTGGGGGTTTTAAAGAAGAGACTGGACAGTCACTTGTCTGCAATGGTATAAGGTCTCCTGCTTTATCAGGGGGTTGGACTAGAAGACCTTCAAGGTCACTTCCAGCTCTATTCTGATTGATTGATTGATTGACTATTGTGCTTTATTCTGAACATTTTAATTTTGGATAGTATCATTTGAGGAGCAATAAGGCATAAATAAAACTGTTGGATTTGTGTGGTGTGGTTTCTACAAAGAACTTCCCACATAGTGAAAAATAACCATAAGAAACTATTAAGATGGTTTTGACATAACGTGCAAAGTAAATACAAATCTCTCCCTGGGTAATGAAATGCAAATTTGGTATAATGTAATTAATTAATTAATCAATCATTAAATTGATTTACATATGAAAAATATGACGAGTTGTTGGATGGCTAATAACTCATTCAAACAATAAAAACAGCATAAGTGAAGTGAAAAACCAACAATGACTATCAAGAATGGAATAGAAACAAACTACTTAAAAGGCCATCTAACCTCTCAACCCTCAGACCTGGAATACATTCTAGTTTTAGCACTTTATAGTGCTGACCTTGTGGAAAGCTAGCAAAGGTGGAGCCAATCTGGTCTTGGAGAATATGGCTTTCCATAGGGCAGGTGTTATGACAGAAAAAAAACATGTTTCAGAAGTCCTGTATAATTTTTTTAATCAAAAAGATAGGAGCATGTGTCTCCTGACACACCTAGTGGGACAGGAAGAAACAACTGAAAAAAGACATTCTGACAAATAATCTGGCTATATTCAATTGTAGGTTTTATAGAGGAGAGCCAACACTTTGAATTCAATCTGGATGTACACTGGAAAACAGTGGACCTTATGGAATTGAGGTGCAATATGGGCATACTAAGGTGTGTCCATTTCTGACTGCATCACTGCATTCTACACCAGCTGCAGCTTTTGGATAGTCCTAGAGGACACAGCCATGACAATACATAGAAGTAACCTATTTATTATACGACCAAGGTAGGAGTGACTATGAGCACTGTCTCCTGATGCAGGAAGATGCACAACTGCTTTACAAAACAAAAAAAAAGTCCTCCTAGGCATGGCTATCACTTGCTTTTTGGAGTCAAGAAGTTTTTGGTTTTGAAGTGTACCACAATCAGTGGTATTGAAGGACACTAAGAGATCAAGAATAGCCAGAATGGATACCTCCCCATACCTCTCCTATAGAGGTCAGCCAGAAATGCAATCAGTGTCATTTTAGTCTCATGCCTGGTCTGAAACACAGCTAAAAAGAGTCCAGATGATCTGTTTCCTTCAGAACTCTCTAAAACTGCTGTTTAACCACCTTCTCAATAGCCTTTTTTTTTGGGGGGGGGGAAACATGCAGCTTCATAATATTGAGATTTTGGAAGATGATTTATGTCTTTTATATGTGTGCTGATCTTCATGGGAAAAAAGTACAGTTATCTTTCCTATTACTTTCTACAGAATCACCAAGCTAAATGGATGGCACGGGGCCTGTGTATTCCAAACATGCTTAACAGACACTGTTGATATTAATTATCCGGCAATGAGATACTTGAATACATACACTCTAAGACACCTGTTCAGTTTTACCTAGGGTGACTGGATGAGAGGAGGCAGGGGGTTGCAATCCTACTCCAGATCCCTGTCCAACAGTTACATTCCCACCTCCTTGAGATACGCTGCTCTGAGAATCGTTGACAGTTGCACTATTACTTGTGCAGGAAGCACCACCTCCAGCATCCGAGTCTTCAATGTTTCCTCCACTGTTGCAACCAGCACCACAACCTTTTCTTAACCTGAACATAACAACAATAATACATTAAAAAAATAATACCAAAGTCTTACAAAGTCATATCTTGATCTATTCTTTTCATATTTATTTATCACATATCCTACTTTTCTTCCAGAAATTCAAGATGGCATATATAGTTCTCCATCCCTGCATCTACCTCATAACAATTTCTTGAGATAGATAAAGGTAAGCAAGTGGACCTGGTCCAAAAGTTATTCAACACAACACAACAAAACACAATACCAGTTTTCTCAGCTGTTGTAGGGATGGGAGATACAAAACAGGTAAGATTGTATTGCCTAATTTACTTTACAAATCATCCCTGGAACAGTGAATTCAAGAGAAAAATAGGATATGTTAAGGCAATATTCTGTGTCTGGAATAGAGTTTCACAAAGAGCAAACTTTATCCAGTAGTTAATATTTGCAGGGGGTAAATGATGCAACTGAGATTAAAACTGACTGTTGACAAAATACTGAAATAAATGTTCCACATTTCTAATAAAAGCAATATCCTTGTTTTGATAGGAATCTTATTCTGAGTTTGCATCATAAAAACAAAAGTAATAAAATAAAACTTTATAGTGTACCATTCTAATTAAATATACTAAAATGAGCAATTGTACTCTGGAGACTTGTTTTACTCACCTGTGCCAAGTAGATACTATGAAGTTTTTGATGTTTCCCAGACTGATGGCACCACCAAGAATCTCTCTTAGCTGTTCATGACTATCAGAATATGAAGTTGTCAGAGGTGAGACATAAATTGGGTATCCAATAGGCTGATCACAAGATGAGTTGATCATGTTCCTCAAAGCTTGTTTGGCATTTTGGATGCTCCCTCTTTCTGGGTTTCGATTGCGTAAGAAGACCAACTCCTGCTGCTGCCCAGCCCAAAGGCCACGGACACATTCCTTATTTACCTGCAAAAACACAGAAATCAGGAATGTATGTAGGAAAATAGTGTGGCAACATGCAAATCAGACAGCTATAACTACATGAATTTTATGACATTAAATATTCATTGTGTCAGGGTTCCAAATAACATCCAAAATTAAATCAGAGTCCAAGACAAAGTATTGCTCAAAGTTCTCATTTATTAAGAGAGTCATGTTGGCACATCTGGGAAAACCCGAATCTGAAAGCTTCCTGGTTTTCCCCACCCAGTTGAAAGTGCAAGATCCTGCACCCACACCCACAAGTCCATCACATGGTCCAATCTTCCACTGCCATACTGGCAGTTCCACCCATCCAGTTCCAGTCAGGTGCAGAGATGATCTTGGCAATTTAAAAGGAATTTTATTTTGGTTCCATCACATCCTACTGCTTACTATCCCCCTCCCATTTCCCCACTATAGAAACAGCATAATAGATAGAAATGTGGCAGGCCAAAGATCCCAAAAGGAACCAGCTGCAGGCCTGACACATTGATTTTATCAAATAAATCTACTAGTACAAAAGTGGTTTAAAATTACAGCCATTTTTTAAATGTCTCAAAAGTACTTCTTTCCTCCAAAGGCAACTGAACTTTCTTGTTTTTTTTTTCTTTTGAAAACATTTCATTTCACATCCAAGAAGCTTCTTTGGTTCTAACTAACTGGTGGGGAACTGAAGAAACATCTTGGATGTGAAATGAAACATTTTCAAAGGAAAAAAACCAAAAAAGTTCAATTGCCTTTTGCAAAAAGCAAAGACAATTGAGTCTCCATAGACACTTTTTAAACGCATACTGAAAACAGGATATAGGCGCGCGCACACACACACTTCCACCCTAATCATAAATATCTTCAATATTTAGACAATTTTAAAAGTATACATTAAAGTTTTACCTTTTAGAAAAATAACTAAAATTCATGTAATTACTAGAAACATGCAGCTTTTGTATTTAACTTTATGGAACCCATTCATGCATATATTATATCATTATTTATTCTGCTTGTAAGCATTAACATAAACACATTTAAAATTTGCTTAGACACAAGAAATAGATAAAAACTGTTATCAGTATACTGTAGGAGGTAAGATGTAGCAAGGTAGTGAGAAATGCCTATGCTACACTTTTCTTAATTGTGGAATTAAATATAAAATATGATCATTTTTTAAAATTTGCCTAGTCTGCAAGTTCTGCTGATTTCCTTAATCAAAATATTTAAAAACCTAGAACAATTTAACATAAAAGAATTGCTTAACAAAATCACAGCATTTAAAAAGGAATTTAAAAAAAAATCAAAATATCTATTTCATACTAGGAAGTAATAAATGCCTATCCTCCCCACTTATTACATCTCATCCTAGAACAGGTGGTCTCATCTACCCTGCTAATTGTTTCTTACTTTAATGACTCTAAAGATTAAATAGCGCTTGTTCAGCATGATGATCTTATATTCGTTGGTGCCATCATCCATCACATGGCGAAGGGCAAGTAGGGAGGGAGAATTGGAAAGTACAGCACTTCGCCAAGCCGGATCCCCCTCATGAGCTATAACCAGGTTTTGTTCATGTGTTGTGATAGCTTCATAGAGAACAGCAGGATCATCGTATTCATCGGGAGAGGTGAAATGATCCTAAACCGAAGAGTAAAAGCATTATCATATCAATATGAGCCTTCATTGTGAAAAGGGAAATGATTATATTCTACTTCAGTGTTGCTGAGCCTTGGCAACTTGATGTGATGTCAACTCCCTGAATAGCAGGTTTGGCTGATGAATTCTGGGAGTTGAAGTCCACACATCTTCAAGCTGCCAAGGTTGAGGAAAATTGTTTTAGCCTATATTAAAATTATACAGTCAAAGTTTATATTCGGCCAAACACAAATATTTAAGATTGCATCTAGTTATCTAGTTACATTAAACAATGAAGAATGCTCAGTTTTCCTAAAGCAATAGTTCTCAACCTTCCCAATGCCACAACCCTTTAATACAGTTCCTCATGTGGTGACTTCCAACCATAAAATTGGTGTCTCGGTTCCTAAGACCATCGAAAATACATGTTTTCTGATGGTCTTAGGCGACCCCTGTGAAAGTGTCATTCGACCCCCAAAGGGGTCGTGACCCACAGGTTGAGAACCGCTGCCCTAAAGGCTAACTAATTTACTACTGTAAAATCATTCATAGATCACAGCCTAGGTTTTAAGATGAGATATAAAACAACTCAGCCATACATTTCTCCAGGGATGGATTTGTGACATCTGGCACAATGGCAATACCAAATGCAATTAACAAACATAGTTTTTTCTCTTGTCAGAAAGATGTAAAAATTGCATTTGTTTTTAAGAAATGCATATGAAACAAATACTATATGCTTCTGAAAGTTTGGTATTAAAAAATGAGAAAATAGTCAAACAATGAAGACCAGGGAAAATATCAGGGAATTTTGTAGACAGTGATATTGAAAAGTATAGTCTGCTTCCCTTTAATTCCTAAATCCTAAATTTTTCCTTTCTCAGTTTAATTCTAACCATTTTCCCCAAATTTGCTCAGTCCTGTTCTTTCTTACATGATATAACGTTGTAAGGAAAAATAGAAGCTTTAAAAAATACCAAACAGATCTGTTAAAGTATCTATTCAGAATATCTATTCACTCTATATTGAATTGCTGATCCTGCTAATATGGACATTAAGGCAAATTCACATAACTTACTTATCTTTCATTATGAAGCTATTTATGAAGATAAATCCTGTTCAAATAGGTAACTGAAAAAATGTTAAAGCCAATTTGCTCTTGAAAGTTAATGTTTTCCTTTCCTGATAAATTATCCTAAATAAACTCACAAAGAATGCTATCGCCACATACATCCATGTATTTTCAGTTTACTGAAACAACATTCTTTTAATACATTTCAATTATGTATACAGATATATGTGTGAACCAAGCATTATTTATGTATTTATTTTATTCAACTTCTAAAACTGCCCATCTTAGTGAATGACTATGATACTAGATGATACCAGAGTTACTGGCTTGAGATGGGTGACAACAGAAATTGAATGAGTAATGAATGAATGAATAAATATAATACTAAATTAATTTTTACTGTATTTATTGGCATTCATTTCACAATTAAAAATTTTCCTCATACATTACTAAAAGTGACTCCTTTTTCAAGAACTTCATTTGCCCTTGAATCAACTTTTTTACCAATGGGGGGACTGCTACAAACGCAAAGTTTGAGTTATAATCATCTATGTCACTTTCGGCTGATGTGCATTTGTGCAAGCATTCTGTATACCTGATGCAGTTTTAGTGACATGCGTATTCCAGGGACCACCACTTTTCTCAGTAATTCCATGTCTGCAAAAATCCATTCATCTCGAATTGATGATATACGAAAGTCTCCTTTAAACAAGGCATGGAGCCCATACAGGAAAGATTCCAGATTACTGTTTGGTTTGGGAGAGAAACCCCAAACATTAAAGCAAACATTCAGTATTCTAAAATTAGTTGAAGAAAGTAAGACTTTCATTTCTATATAAACATTGTGGGCTGCCAAGCAAATTCAAATTGCCATACTAAACAAATATAAATCAGGAGAGTAAAAAAAAAGAGAGAGCTGACAATCATTCTTCAGTTCCTCATCTGTCCTGGCTATGTATTCAAGAATGGCTGAAACACTAAAGGAAAACTAATCATCCTCAAATTACTTGGCAGAAAAGTGGCATAAATTCTTTGTGTTAAGGAGAACAAAAGTAGTTGCATTATCTTGTACTCTGCAGTTATTTGCCAAAGAAGCACCTGGCCTATTTGCTGACAAATTACTTCTGTATCTTAGAGTCTTTCACTTCCCTCAGAATCAATTTTATACTTATTCTATTCTTGAACTTAATGGAAGACTTCTCCAAGTTCCCTTTTCTTCTTCTCGATGTTTATAGATTGAGCTTGTCTCAAATACCAACTCAGTGCTGTTCAATGACTATAATAAAATCAAAAGATCCAAAAATGCATATTCTTTATAGCAGTGTTTCTCAACCTTTGCGGCTTCAAGATATGTGGACTTCAGCTTACAGAATTCTGTTACTTGAAGTCTACATGTTTTCAAGCTGCCAAGATTGAAAAGCACTGCTTTAAAGGTTTGTCACTCTGAGAAATCAGCCATTAACAGACATATTGAGATAAGGTCTAGCTATGAACCCTTCCAAAAAGGAAGCAACCAAAATCAAAGAAAGGGGTAAATAGATCTAAGTACATCTTTTATCATCCTGCACTTATTATAGAATGGAAAAAGGCACAGCTATATTCTAGGAGACTATATTCTGGAATAGTAAATAAAAGTACCTAGCCATATGATGTGAAGCAGTTCCCAGAGCTCTCCGACCAAGAACAGACAGTCCGTAGCAAAGGGTAACCAGAGAAGAATCCTTATCTGCATTGAGTGGCTTTGAGTAAAAAGAAAAACAAAAATTGAAAACATGGTAAAGAATATAAGATGTTATGTTCCATCATATAACTCAAACTGTAAGTTTTCATCACTGTTTTCTATTTTCTTAAGAAAAAAAAAGTGGAGAATAATTTCCAAAATGAAATATACACTTTCACTTTAAAAAAAGTGGCTGCAAGCCTTTATGTTCCATTATCAGCAAATGAGATATTGTTATTACTGAGTAGGTTCTTGGCAGCAATAAATTCTCTTCATGGCTAACATAAATACTTTAAGCTAATATATATATATGGGACTCAGCTAAGAAGTTCAACTCCCAATTCCTCCACATTTTCAGGATTTAGACACTCTTTGAGAGATAAGATAGCATATCTTCGTAGGATTTCTTAATCATTCAAAAATACTTACTTTTTCTCTCTGAGAGCAGCAATATTCTACCCAGTTGAGATAAATTATACAAAAACTCTCTCTTGAAACCCCTGCTAGCCGATGATCATAATCTTCATCAATATTAGGATTAAATGTAGGGTCTACATCTACGTAATTTTGATCTGCACATTGTTGCAGTCCTTCCTGCATTGTTTCATTTGATAACCATTCCTCTAGCTTGGGAGAGGATATTACATAATAGATGATACCCTACAAGATAAAAAATTAAAGTTATTAGAATATATACATCTGATTTTCACTTTTAAGTATTTAGCAAACATAGAAAAAGGATTAAACACATCCTTTGTAGATGTTGAACCCTGACGGGTTATTTACCAGACCCAAGCCATAGTAAAGAAATGAAAGGTAAAGAAATGGAAGAAAGGAAAATACCCAGATTTTTTTTTTTGTTGTTGTTGGTAAATTTTACAGGATCATGAAACAATTTAGAATTGCCTTTACAAATGAGTACTAAGCTATTTTATTCATGTTATTAATATATGTGGTATATTCAGGTAGTCCTAAGTTAACAAAAGTTCATTTATTGACCATTCAAATTTAAAATGGCACTGAAAAAAGTGACTTATGACCATTTTTCATATTTATGGCATTGCAACATCCCCACAGTCACATGAAAGAATTCAGATGCTTGGAAACTGACTCATATTTATGACAGTTGCAGTGTCCTGAGGTTATGTGATTACCTTTTGCAACCTTCTGATAAGCAAAGCCAATGGGGAAGCCAGATTAACTTCATCACTGTGTTACTAGGTTACTTCTCACTTAGCAACATACATTTTGGATTCAATTGTGGTTGTAAATTAGGGACTACCTCTATACCAATATTGTAATTATTTTCAAAAGAAGGTGGTAATGTGCTTATAGAAAAAATCATATTGGCTAGAAATGCACTGGTAATCAAAGTTACTTTGCAGTTGAATGTGAGGAGTCTGAATTTCAAATGTAAATTTCCATCCTCCCACCCAGAGAAATTAAAAATAATAAATACCGTGCAAACTATTCTTCTAAATCAGGGGTGTCAAACCTGGGCCAGATCTGGCCCACAAGGTGCTTAGAACTGATCTGCGGTGCCGTCCTGGAAGCAGCAAAGGACTGGCCCATGGTGCCATTGCCAGTGAAAATGGAACCAGGGGAGGCTGCCTGTGGCCTGTCCCCAATTCCACTTTTGGCCGCAATGGCCTCCTGGAGCCCTCTGGCAGCGAAAAAAGAGCCCAGGGAGTCCGCCTGCAGCCTCCCTGAGTTCCGTTTTCACTGGCAGAGGGCTGCAGGAGATCGTGGCCGAAAACGGAGCCTCGATGAGTGACATCGAGCTGGCCATGCCAACCCTGGCCATGCCCCCCTCCCAAAGTAAAACACAACCCTGATGCGGCCTTCAATGAAATTGAGTTTGACACCCTTGTTCTACATTCCTGAGTTAGAGATATACCTTGACATAGTATGTGGTGAGTATTTTCCTTAGATCAAAGACCTGAAGCATGGAAGCAGCGCTGTTGTCAGTTATGCTGTAACCCTCCAAGACATACTTTGTGACTAAAACTTCCCAAGCGAGCCAACGCTGGCCAAAGGCAGCATTAAAAGACAACACATGAGGGAAATGACCAGGTTCACAGCAACAAAACCCTTCATCTTCTTCAACCCCTTCAGTGATAGCTTCTACTTCTCGTTGCTGACAATAAGTTCCTGAAATGAAAAAAAGTAATTCTTAAAAATAGGAGCATTAACACCACCAGTTCTGATAATTTAAAAATAATGATTTGCACTTGCTTTCTGGTAGAAAATGGGATGAGAACTGTGTTTCCCCGCAAATAAGACAGGGTCTTATTTTCTTTTGACCCCCAAAATAAGCACTTGGCCTTATTTTTGGGGAGGTCTTATTATTTTTGAGGTGTAGGAGGCAGCGAGCGTGGTCACCTCATGTCTCCTGCTGTGCTGCAATATTTTGGGGGAGGATTTATTTTAGCACATGCACTCAAAAGCCCGATTGGGCTTATTATCTGGGGAGGTCTAATTTTCAGGGAAACAGGGTAACATTGGGATAAGTAATTAAGGACCTTCATGAGTTCATGTTCATTTTATCAGTAATATCTGTATCATAGATTTTTTTTAATTACAGTATTTATACCACTGTAAAGGTGTCAGAAATTACTAAAATAGAATACACTAATGAAAGAAAAAGTAACAGGATTTTTGTTGAAATATTTGAAGAAAGTAAAGATTAAGTGATCTGAGGTTATAAAATGAACTTTGTTCAGCTCTATCAATTTTACCCAGACTCAGAGCATCTCAATCTAAAATATTTATTAATCTAATGGACTAAATTAGCATGTTATAATGTCTGAAGCAGAAAGTAGTATGGGAAGATTAAAGAGAAGTGCCTTCACATAGACTTTACCTCTGAATTCAAGCCCTCTCAGCTGGAAGGTGACTAAGCCATTGCCAATCTCTATAAGGTGTACAAGTGCATTGAGGTAGTCGGAAGCAAGAATAAAGCAATCTCCAGTACTGTAGTTTCCCCATCGCCCCAAGAGTAAGTCTCCACATAGGCTGTGCTGAAGGGAGCGAGTTAAATGTTCATAGAAGATTGAATTCAAGTTATTGTCATCAGAACCTACATGGATGAGAAAAATAATGCAATATACTAGAAACATAAATTTATTTTTACAATTCTATTGAAAAATCAGCCCAAGATATTAAAACAGACTGGATAAATGATCACTTTAAGAGCTTATAGCTGACTCAACACCTGCGCTTTAGCCATATTATTTTCACTGTAGAAACATTAATGTATGTTGTTCTCTTGGCATCAAGGAAAATTTCTTAGGTGGGGCACCCCAAAAGTGACAGAGATCAGGAACTATCTCCAGATAGTATCCACAGCACTTCTCCATTTTTCTCTACAATAGTACAATACAGAGAAAGCCAAAGTAGAAATAAACAGTTTGCATTCTTTAGTGCCTAGCATACAGGATTAACCTTTGCCCCTGGTTAAGGTTAATTATTGTTTTACAGATAGTTCTCTCATCTTTGGATAAACTCTTTTTGAAAAGGGGAAACCTTTTCAAGGATTTGGACAAGTTGCTAGAATATATCTGGTAGCTTAAATAGGGATTGTGTAAAGAGGAATATTCATAAGGACAGCAGCAGAATTTTGGTTCCCACCCCCATGAAAAAATAGGGAAAAAACATAAAAGAAAAACTCTAGGTTTATTCAGATGATAGAAGGGCACAAAAATAGGAAATACTAGTTATAATTTTGAAGTTGCAGTTTTGGAAAATATGGTTCTTTAGTTAGAAAAAAAGATTTCCATCTATTAATTGAATTCATCTATTACCGTGTTTCCCCGAAAATACGACCTGTCCTGAAACTAAAGCCTTGGCACATATTTTGGGTGGGCAAAAATATTAGCCCCTGGACACCCCCCCCCTCAAGCCAGGCAAAGCACCACTCGCCGACCTAGCGGTATCCTGAAGTTGCCAAGCCATGGGAACGAGGTGGGGACAAAGGCGCTTGCTGCTTTTGGGTTACCGCTAGGTCGGTCAGCGCCGCTATGCCCAGCTGAAGAGGGGGGGTTGCTGGGCAGCTGCTATCTTATGAGCGGGCTCCCAAAGAGCCGGGCACAGCCTCAGGGTCGAATGGCTGTGTTGCGCTGTCACAGCAGCATCACAGCAGCCATGAGGTGACCACGGTCATGAGCAGCCGCCCAGCAACCCCCCTTTCCAGCCGGACACAGCACCGCTGACCGACCTAGCAGTACTCAGAAGGCATCAAGCAAGTGTGACTCGCAGACTCACGATGCCCTTGGCTAACTCTACAGTACCTGCAGAGCCAGGGTATCTCCGTTGCTGGTGCCGCCCGCCACTTGTTTTTTTTTCGGCTTTCAAAGCATGGAGGATGGATGCCGCTCTGGGAGTACGCTCTATGGTTGTGGGCTGCAGAGCGTACAACCATAGAGCGTACTTCCAGAGTGGCATCCATCCTCCGTTGCAGCTTCCAAAGCATGGAGGTAGGATACCGCTCTGGGAGTACGCTCTATGATTGTACGCTACCATAGTGCATACTCCCAGAGCGGCATCCGTCCTCCGTGCTTTGAAAGCTGCAAAAAAAACAAAAACCCAAGTGGTGGGCAGCGCCACCAGCAGAAATCCCTAGCATTGCAGGTACTGTAGTTAACCAAGCACATCTTGAGCCTGCGAGTCGTGCGAGCAGGCAGTAGAAAAGCCGCTTGCGCAACCCCCTCTCCAGCCATGCAGAGCCCCATTCACTCACCTAGGGGCATTCCGAAGGAGCCATGCCGCAGGAGGCAGAGGGCAGCGAACAGGCACTCAAGTTTCTTGGTGCCTTCCAGGTACCGCTAGGTCAGTCAGCGGCACTGTGCCTGGCTGGAAAGAGGGGGTGGCCGGGCAGCTGCTCATGAGCATAGTCACCTCATGGCTGCTGTGTTGCTGCTGCGACAACGCAACACAGCCATTCGACCCTGAGGCTGTGCCAGCTCTTCAGGAGCCCGGTCGCAAGGAATGGGCCACCCGGCAATCCAAAAACAATAAGCCCTCCCCCTTAATAGGCCTAAGGCCACATTTCATGGGTCAAAAAAATATAAGACCCTGTCGTATTTTCGGGGAAACATGGTAGATCCGAGGTGTCAAACTTAATTTCATTGAGGGATGCATCAGGATTATGTTTGACCTTGGGGGGTTGGGGTGGGTGTGGCCAGGGTGGGTGTGGCCAGCTTGATATCACTCATGTTGGTGGTCTGAGTGCTCTGCCAGTAAAAACGGGCTCCCAAGCTCCATTTTCAGCTGTGACGGTCTCCTACAACCCTCTGCCAGTGAAAACGGAGCTCAGGAGGGTCCCTCTCAAGCTCAGTTTTTGCTAGAAGAGGCACCATGGGTCAGTTCTTCACTGTTTCCAGGGTGGTCCCGTGGGCCAGATCTAAGCACCCCACGGTCTGGATCCAGTCGCCGGGCCTTGAGTTTCACACCCTGTATTAGATGAATACAGATAGACCTTGACTTACGATCACAAATGTCTGTTGTTAAGTGATAAATTTGTTAAATGAATTTTGTCCAATTTTACAACTTCTCTTGCCACAGTTGTCAAGTGAAGCATTGCAGTTATCAACGTAGTAAATGATTATTAAGTGAATCTGGCTTTACCATTGGTTTTGTTTGCCAAGTGGTCACAAAAGGAGACCACTGCAACCGGCATAAATATGAGTCAGTTGTCAAGCACCTGAATTTTATTCAAATGACCATGAGGATCCTGCAACGATCATAAGTGTGAAAAATGATCATGTCATCTTTCTCAGTGTTGTTGTAACTTTGAAAGGTCACTAAATGAACTGTTGTAAGTTGAGGACTACCTGTAGTGTGTAACAAATCATCTAAGAAGACAACTGTTAAGGAATATAGATATAATCATTAACACAATCAATATATTTGAATGATTAAGGAATGTAGTATCTAAGAATTAACTGTATTTGTTGCAAATGAATTTAAAGTAAATTACTAATAATATCTATAAAACAAAATATCCTATTAATATTTATCCTCCATAATACATTGTTCAAAGTCAGAATCCTAATGTAAAAGCAGGTAAATACTGTTGCACATACAAAATATACTTATCTATAAGAAAGAGCTCTTCCTCACCCGCTTAAAAGATGAAAAATATCATCTTTCATTGGATTAATTTTGCTTTCCACCAAAAAAAAAAGGTACGGACTGAATTGAGCTGTTGCACAATCCACTAAACAGTTCACCTGCCTACTTTTATCAATATTACCTGGGTTTCTGTCAAGCTGAGAAGCCAGTCTTGTATTTGAGTGGTCCACTCGTTTCGTGCTAAAATAAAGACAAAAAAGTAGAGTTAACTTGTATTCCTGAAATACCTTGAAATGAAGCACCACAGGGTACTTACTGTTTTCCTACCATTCTACCTTTCAGACAGAGACTCATTTTTACACGCCTTATCTTAAAATAAATAAGGGAGAAACTTTTGTAGAATCTAATATACAATAAGGGGCTTCCCCAATTGGTGATTGTCCAAAATATTTGATTCCCTGCTTACAGAACTGAAACAGGGCCAATGGTGGGTTTCAAATCCAGTTCCAACCGGTACGGTTGGAACGGGGCTGGCAGTGACCTCGTGGATGCGCGCAGTGCGTGCATGCATCTTAGCGCCTCCGCAATGCTCCAGCTACTCCACAGAGCGTCGCGCAGGTGCTGTATGTGCCATGCACCTGCGTGGAAGCGCAGAAGCCTTTAAACACCAGTAAGGAGCTCAGGCGGGCGGGTGGGCGGAGCACCATACCGGAATGGTATCAGGTGCTCTGGTACACGCGTACCGCCTGCAACCCACCACTGAACAGGCCGATGAACAGTGCTAGTTCCAGTCATTTGTTTTCTGATAGGAGAGGCTGAGACAGATATGTTTTCTAGATGTGAAAACAGATCCTGTCTGTTTTTCAAAGTTCTGAATGATACTTTCATGAATGTTGTGGCAACCAGAAAGCCTAATTTTACAAATGCCATAAAAATCCATTTTAGGGGGGCATTGCAATAAAGAAATCAAAACAATACTAAAAAACAGGAGAAACGTAGTTAATAATAGTTTTTTAAATTCTGGCAAGACTTGCTAGAAAAACATATCAAAATGAGAACACCTGGCTGGAAAAAAACAGATGCATTATTCTTGTGCACTGTGAAACTCAAATCTTTTCCATTCCTTTAAAAATCTATTTGTTAAATGGAAATATTTGAAGCTCTGTAGTTTCATTCCCCCCCCCCCTTAAAACGTTATATATTCAGAATAGTCAGTATCAAGAAAAGAAACATTTGTGCTTTTGAGATTAAAAAAATATATTTTAAATTTCAATGCATTACAATGTACTATACATGAAAGCCTTGTATGATTTCAGTAAAACCTACTTGTAGTCTCTCTCCCAGAACTTGACGGGTCTGACATAAGAAGTGATAAATATTGCACTTCCCAAAAAGGGGTTCAAAGGGGTAGAAAAAAAGGCAGACACGATTGCCTGGACAAACAGCATTGCAGAATCTACCGGACAATAAAGTTAAGGATGTCATAATTGTTACCCAGATCCTTTATTAGCAGGATAAAATGAAGCTGGATATTTGTCCCTTATTATTTTTTCTTATAACACTGAGCATGTAAATTCGCCTTTCCTTTTTGTAATCATTTACTACATATTTTCTCTACTAGATTTAGATTTCAAGAGATCAAATTAAAATAAGTTTGAATTTCAAAAGGATACGGGGCACAGCAAATGGTTGGGCGAAAGCATGGAAAGCAGATCCCCATGTGATTTGCCAAGGAGCAATGTAAGTGTACACAAACCTTAGTTTGTAAAAAAGTTCCCAAAGCTACAAAAGAAATCAGAAGAAAATATTTAGAAATATAAGCTCCAGCAAGAGTAGCAACACAAAAGCATAATCATGCATGGATTTTATCCTCTTGAAGCACGTGCAGAATAATGTCTCCATTAAGGCTTAAGGGAACTTGATTTGACGAAGCCACCAAGATCTACCACCGCATCCCATGTCTGTGTGTAAGCATGCCCTGCTGAACTGATTAAACACCACTGTCAATAAGAGAAATGAAGTGGAATTTTTCTGGGTTCCCTTTTAAAATTCAGGAAAAAAATACCATGACATTGCAAGATTTATTTTACGTTGTAAAACTAAAAAAAAAAAAAAAGTAGAGTTAATCCTCACTTCTGGAGACTACATGGATGTGCCCATGTATTTTCCTTTACAACGAAGCATCGTCTTGGTAGTTTATGTTGGCTTCCTCTGGGATATTTTTTTCTCAAATTCTTAGTTTTTGTCTACTACCCTAAGATATCCTGTTAAATCTCCAATCAAAATTTTTCCAATTATCCAATTTTACTTTACATGTCTAATATGTACAATTTTACTTAGCTTTCTGAGATTAGTCAACATTGACCAAAATACCTTTACACTTGGTACCATAACAATTCTTATTTATCCATTTACTTATTAACTCCTGTACAGAAACCCATATGGTCTCTCAGCTAGTAACAAGGCATACATCATACAAAACCACACAGGAAACAATAAAATAATACTTGAAGAAGAATACACGTTGTGCTTACATGACATGCTCACCTATAAACAGTAGTTTCAGCTTAGTAGTTTGTATGAATGCAGCCATTATATTTTAGGAATCAAAATTTATGGCTTCGTACATTGCTCAAAATCAGCCAACTCTAGTTTATTCAGTGAACCATGGCTAAATAAATAGGAGTTTAATATATATGAACTAGATCTGTGTTATAAAGGCCTGCTTGATCTTTATAAGAGTTCATTGAGCAAGAAGACAGCTCTGCTACACAAAAAGCCTTTCCGCCCTTTGCTCTGGCAGATGTTGAGATGTTCACACTAAACCAGTTTCTGCCAGTTGCTTGTAACAATATGGAATAGAAGATGATGCTGTATTTGACTTTACCTTGCTGAAGAGTATGGACATGAAGAACAAGTCTAGCAGCATGGTCTCAGAGAATCGATTGTAATCAAACGTAAAGAAAAGCACTGTAAAAATGATAGTGACATACTGGTAGGTTGGATTGCTAAAAGATGAGCGCAGCAACTTCATACCAGCTATAGTAATCATTAAAGCACCAAGTCTGCAATGGAAAAATAGAATTTCAGATGAAATCTGAAGCCAAGGAATTCCCTTAGTTTTCCCTTTAGAAATTCCCATTAGTTTCTTCTTGCCTCACTCCCCTCTGCTTGATTAATTTGTTGATTATTCTCAGTGAACTTATTTTCTAAAATTCCTTTTTATTAGATTCCGTAACTCGCAGGATCTTGTTTGGGTTCTCAGCATACCGTATTTTTCAGAGTATAAGATGCACCAAGATTTTGAAGAGGCAATTTTTTAAAAAAGTAGATAGATGGATAAAGGGATAGAGAGGGAAAGAGAGAGAGAGAAATACAGTAGGTACATAGGCAGAGAGAGTGCAGGTAGGTAGAGGGATAGATGATAGATAGATAGATAGATAGATAGATAGATAGATAGATAGATAGATAGATAGATAGATAGATTTCAGATTCAGATTCAGATTCAGATTCAGATTCAGATTCAGATTCAGATTCAGATTCAGATTCAGATTCAGATTCAGATTCAGATTC